ATGTTCATCACAGTTCGAGAAATGTTGTCCTTCAAGGTCATCAAGTTGGGGACACCACCAAGATAGACCTTGTACTTTAAGTAACCCCACAGGAAAAAGTTACATGGGGTTAGATCCGGGGGTTAGAACCTTCAACGAGTGCAATCGCAACATCACTAATTGTCTGTGCAGACACCGGTTTTTGCCTTCTACCAGGTCGAACTGCTAAGGATCTTCAACTTTCTTTATCAAGTCTTTCAATTAGTGTTGCAACGAATAGTATATTCGGCCTCAGGCCGAATACCGAATATTCGGCCAGGAGCGTGGCCGAATAGCCGAATATTCGGCCAAACTATTCGGCTTGATTCGCATTATGGCAACGACCCTGCTTTCTATTGGCCCGCTGTCACTACGCTTCACCAATCACGTTAATTCTTGACAGTTCAGACAAGAGCGTCACGGCAGTATGTGATAAGTGATGATATCAAATGTGGATAACAATGTAATAACCTACATGTGTAAATAACGGAAAAAGAACAGGGAAGGACCGCAAAATGAAAATGTGAAAATAAATATGAAATTGAGTTGATAATATAATCGAACAAGTCGAAGCAGCTTATTGGCGCAAAATTCGCGGCTGTCAATGCCAAACAATTGTTGTCATAGACTTCGGAAAGCTAAATGCTTGTAATGAAAGTCACTTAGCGTGCACGGGCGAAAGCCTGGGGTCGTTCGGGCTACCAAGCTGTTTCGAATCTGTGAAATCATAACTGTGACTTATACTGACGTCTTATCTGTCTCTTTTATCCGTTATCACCAGGCTATGAGTCACGTAATTGTAAAATGGGAAATCTACGACGGAAAAGTCACGAATCGAAAGTATCGTGAGGACGTATTATGATGTATGCATAGGCATGCGTGGACTAGAGCGATAGAGGGAAGAGCAAAGACGAGCACTTAAAAAGAAGGATAGGCAGGGTCAGATGCTCAGATGTGCGACGATTCTCGAACGAATAGGTGTGTACAGTACGTGTGCTGATCTTTGTAATTATAAATTGTGAATACAAGTGACTAATATTACGTTCTTTTCTAATTTGTGCATGTTATAAGTTATAAATAAATATAAACAAACAAACACTAACTCGATAACATTAAATCTAAATACCAAAATGATTAATTTACTGTGTTTTTGTTATTTCTTACTCCTGTTTTTAGGTATTCGGTATTCGGCCGAATAGTAATTAAATATTCGGTATTCGGCCGAATAGCGAAAAATAGGCCGAATAGGCCGAATACCGAATAGTAACCGAATATTCGTTACATCACTACTTTCAATGCATTAATTGATAAAGGACCTCTGCGCAGGTTGTTACGGTTTCTAAACTCACGAAGAGCGCCCAATGCGCTCGATTGGTTAAGATAATAAAGTTTCACAAGCAACGTACGCTGAAGTAACGAAAGATGCGTGTTGAACACTGCTGAAGTCTGGAATCCGCTTCGGACTTTTGCCCTTGTCTTTTAAGCTCAAATTAGGTGGCGCTGCAGTCGACCACGCCATTGTGAATTTCGATTTTGAGGTGTTACCAGTGCGTTATGCAAATTCTTAGTTGTCTCGTTACAACAGCGCCAAATCCACACCTACTGGCGAATTTAGGTACTACTTTTTTCTTCGCGGAATTTCTTTCCCATGTTGTTCTTAGTCACTCTCCCAAATTTGGCTACAGTCCAGCTGTTAGATTGCTCTACAGATGTCTCTGAGTACCATCAGTTTAAAAAAAAAAAAAACACCCTGTAGTATGTTTTTGTTATGCTCCTTCTTCACGTTATAATACATTTCTCATTGTCAGTACATTATCAACACTTCGCATATTTTCAAAAATTATCATAATTACTTTAACACATACTTTAAAGCACCAATCAGCATTGGACACTTAAAAGTCCTTCTATCACTGCTCCTGCCATTTTCCCACAATGACTTATTGATTGGACACATATCAGGTAATACTTATCCGTAAGAAAATTTTTTTCTTAATGTACAGTACCGTACATTACCCAATTCTGTCAGATTTTCTATTTTTTCTAATTATTAGTTTTTGATTGTACTAACACTAGCTATTAGTCTTTCTTTGTACTAACATTAATATTCGCTTTGGGGCTGTGTGCATAAAAAAACCGTGTTGTCTCTATTTGTTAAATAACTGTACTTTACATCAGAGCCGTAACCAGGGTATGGCCAATGTGGCCCGCCATAGGCGCCAATTTAATAAAGGCGCCAACGAGAAGGTTTCGGAATAATATGTATTCGAAATTAACAACAAAAAAATTTTATATTTATATAGTATTTAAATGTCATTAGATAATTTTTTACAATAGCATTTTTTTAGAATGAAATTATTATTTTTTTAATAATAAAAATTAAAAAGGCGCTGTTTTTATTCTTGGCCATAGGCTTCCAAAATTCTAGTTACGGCTCTGCTTTACATTATTTAGTAGGATACTGAGTGTTGTTGTTTTCCTCCTGGCTAGCTTCGTTTTTCTTCTCTGCTTTTATGTTGACCCGCTCCTATCTGGTGTCACGTGCCTGATGGGAAAGGGGCCTTTTCCTCACTTTTACCTTGCTTGTTTTCGCAGTAGTAGGAAATTGTTTGCTTGTGTCTGTTTATTTCTTTGATATATTCATTTAACAGTACTGTACATTAGTTTGCAAGCATCTATTGGTAATGCCTCCTCCAAGCTGTCTTACAAGTTAGCCATGCATTGCCATGTGAGATAGGGGCCTTCTTCTCACTTGATTGTTCCTATAGGAGGAAAAAAGAGAGAGTGAAATTGTTCTGTTATTTGTGTGGGGAGCTTAACATTATGTCTGTAAATTTACTCTGTTGTCAGTAGCTTTCTGGGTTTTTGGCATGAATATTAATTCTCAGTTTTCCTGGATCTTGTAGCAGCGAATATGTAACTATATTAACATAAAATAACTGAATATACTAATATACTACCTTGGCCCCTCTCTTGGCCACAGTTAATACTAAATGATTTCAAAATTTAAAATAGTACGATTGGAAGAAAAAGAGCACAGGCTCATTGCTACCCACGTGATGAACACCTTTTGAACCTTCATCAAATTCATTATACTATACTATCCTTTTTCAGTGGTAATTGGTTCCAGCCCCTTTTCTGCTTCCCCATTTACATTGTACTGGGTCTCCCTTTTGTTTTACTTACCAGAAGTAAGGTGATTAAACTGTACTGGTAGTTGGCTTCCTTTTCTGGCTTGCCAACGAGTTGGTCGTGTGAAGTTTTAACGGTTCCTTTACATTCTCCTGAATGGAGGCCAGTTTCCCTTAAGTCCTCACGGTTGGCACTTACTGGTTTTGTTCATAGTAACACCAGCCCTCTTTTAATTTGACATTCCAATTTTGCTGGACCACTTTGTCATTGGATTGTCCATCCTTGCTTTTTATTTCCTCAGCGGTCCCACCAGTGGCCAAGCGGTTTTCGTACCCTGAACACTGGGAGTTCGGTCGGACGGGCTGGCCAAGTGGAGTTTTTCGGATTTTCTCCACGTCTTTAACGCCTAAATAGGGGATATAATTAAAACTNACCTTGGCCCCTCTCTTGGCCACAGTTAATACTAAATGATTTCAAAATTTTAAATAGTACGATTGGAAGAAAAAGAGCACAGGCTCATTGCTACCCACGTGATGAACACCTTTTGAACCTTCATCAAATTCATTATACTATACTATCCTTTTTCTGTGGCAATTGGTTCCAGCCCCTTTTCTGCTTCCCCATTTACATTGTACTGGGACCCCCTTTATTTTACTTACCAGAAGTAAGGTGATTAGTAGTTGGCTTCCTTTTCTGGCTTGCCAACTAGTTGGCCGTGTGAAGTTTTACCGGTTCCTTTACATTTTCCTGAGTGGGGGCCAGTTTCCCTTAAGTCCTCACGGTTGGCACTTACTGGTTTTGTTCATAGTAACACCAGCCCCCTTTTAATTTGACATTCCAATTTTGCTGGACGACTTTGTCATTGGGTTGTCCATCCTTGCTTTTTATCTCCTCAGCGGTCCCACCATTGGCCAAGCGGTTTTCGTATCCTGAACACTGGGAGTTCGGTCGGACGGGCTGGCCAAGTGGAGTTTTTTGGATTTTCTCCGCGTCTTTAACGCCTAAATAGGGGATATAATTAAAACTAATAATTAATTAATCATTTCAATATTAAAAACTATAAGAATTTACACTAAATTATTTCCTCTTAACTTTTTCTATATTCAAAACTGATTTCGAATCCAAAACTTTTCCTTTAATGGTTTCATAGTGTATTATTTCTTTGTTTTTCAGTTTCTAATCTACTAATCGAAATTGTTTAAATAATTTTACTTAATCACAAATTAGTTGTCTAATATTAAATATTCAAATTTATAATTTTGAATTGTTTGTGAATTTTATTGAAAAATTCTGGACACAGATATATTGTTTGATAGCGTTGGAAATTGCTGCAGATAGTTCATCGTGTGTATTTATCACATTTTTCAACAATAAGATTAAACGATTTTTAATTATTTCCGCTCTGTGGACGCTAAGAGGGCCTTTTCCATGTTCGTCACCGGTTCGGCTAACAAGTAAGACCACAATGGAGGTGTATATGTGTGTAAATTCATTGTAGTGACGTATTTGGTGGACCCGTCTCACCATCCCCAATCTTGAAAAATATGACAAATAAAAGCGTATTTTTAAGTATTATTAAAATCTTTAGTCATCTATCGGATGAATAATCAAATTAAATTACTTCTTCATTATGCAATTTCTTTCTGTATGAAAGAAATTTCGTAATGAAGAAAAAGAAACTAGTTTACAATTGCATTTTGTATTTTAGATCATTTTGAACACGATGAAATAAGCTTTATTAATAAAATAATATTTTAAAACTTCTAATATTAATTGATTATTCATTAATTTTGAAATAATTGACTTTCAAAATGAGGTTATTTTACATATTTCTACACTGTTTTTAATTTCAGATTTCCCTTTCAATTCAGGTCTATTTTTGTGAATAAGAGAGCGAAACAAGTAAGAAAACAGAGAAGCTTAAATTTTCGATAAAAGTTTATTTATATTTTAATTTATGTATTTTTTACGCTATTGTTTTACAAGTTATCTATTTTGTTTATTAGTTAATGGTATTTATCTCGATGCGAATATATCAGGTAAGTGTTAATCCTTTCACAAATCTTGAATTTTAAACTGTTTTTTTAAATCTAAAATCAAATTTAATAAACTATCTTATTATAATTGTTTTATTTGAACAATTCTGAAATCATTCTGTAGCATTATAAAGGTTAAACAAAGTCAAATTTTAGTAAAATCGATAATCATAAAACAATTTTGGTACAAATGCAGCTGTGAATGAGACGATTAAGACCTTATCAGCGTTGTAGACCATGCCATGGAGTAAAAAAGGCAAAAAATCCAACTGTCTATACGTCACTCTTCTCGAGATATAACCTCCCGAAATCTGCCTATCTCGCGAAGGGTCACATATAGACATTCGGTTCTTCTGACTGTTCCTCCTAAGATGCTCAATTAATGATATCATATCGATAAATTCGACAATTCCACAACAAAAACAGTCTTTTATGCTCCTATGAATTTGGTCATCTCTGATAAGGTCTCAACCCGTTTCATTTAGAGGTGTAATTGTACCTGTTGTCCTAAATATGTATGCAGTTTAAGTAAAATTAAAAAATTGTACTTGCGGTTGAATTTTTAAGATTTTATCCGAAAATTGAAATGTGTACATTATGTGTACCAGTATGTGTACCAGGACATTATGTGTACCAAATATGGTTAAGATTTACTCAATAGTTTTTTTTTACAGAGAGCTCTGAACACATCTTTAATTATGATTACCCTCTAAATCGGATATTTTGCTTTAAATTTCGAGTCTTTGCGCTACTTAGCATTCCTTAACAGTTTTAACATGAAAGACGTTAACATAAGTTCTTGTTTTCAATGTTTTTAATTTAAAATTTTGTGAAAAAATCTATGTTAAAAATTTTAAGTTGTAGACAGTCAAATAAACTAGTTGGTTAAATTAATAAATGTATAACTTTACATATATTGAATATACTGTAGTATTATTATAATATTGATAAACCCTTCATTTCTAGAATCGAATTCATTTTGTATAATGGAGGATGAAAGTATACTGATGTGTAAATTATGTAAAAAGGTATTCAATGGGAAAATACCTTACGGCCAACATATGATGTCTTCAAAACATTTAAAGAAGAAGAAGGAGATTCTAATTTCTGTTCTATGCAGAGATGATACTTTGTCTGGAAGCAGCAAAGAATTAAGAGAAGAAGCGAACTCATCTGGGATAACATCCGATTCTCCTTCCAGAAAAGAACAAGAGACAGATACTTCTACGGAAAAATCTGTTATGAAAGGCTGTATTTGTTGTGGAATTGCCGAATTTATCGATACAATGTCATTAATTGAGCACCTTCATAGTTCCGATCATGTTAGAAGATCTTATGAGAAAGTTTAACATTTCGAGAATGTTAACGATTCCTTACAATAATTTGATATAGAATAAAACTATAAAAATAAAATAAATATCTGTGTTTTTGTTATGTTTTTAACGAAAAATTAGTATAAGAAATAATTGTAATAGCAATATAATATTTTTTACTTTCCTGGCTCTGTTATCAATAATAGTATGGCGAGTAATCAAAAATAACCTCCGAGATTTTTACATTTTTGGGCTTGGGGACCATAAAACTTCGAGAATGCAAAAGAAAAACAAATTAGCAACGAGTTGTGTAACTTTTCCGGCTGTTATGAGTTTTTATTAAAAATCCCTTTTATACTTTAAGCAACAAATAAAATTGTATGTAACGCCATCTGTTATCGGATATTGTTATAAAAACTTCATATTTTTAATTATAAAATGGCAAAAGCTTAATTTTTAAGATAGGGATGAGTTTAAAAAAAAAAAAGTAAAAATGTCAATAACGAATAAAATCGTAATTAAGTCCTATCTTTCTCGAGATATTACATATGACATCCCTCTATCTCCTCACTCTCTCTACCTTTTACCATCAAAATTTAATAGCATCAATGCCCCTCATATACAAGCCACCATGCTAAATTTTGTTTCTAAGATATTAAGCAGAATAGACGCTAACACATACACTCACGAAAATTTTTGCCGTTTTTGTGACTTTTTTGGATTCAGGAATTCTTAAAACGTTGAGATTTGCAAAGAACTAGGAAGGTCAAATTTGACATGATTCCAATCTTTGTTATGTACACACAAATGTCAGGAAAGCAAAATTTGGGATTTTTTTTCTGCATGTATGGACTATGGATGTTTGTGTGGAGGGCACGATTTTGTTCACCCTATTAGAAGCTTAATAACTCCTGTGCCTTTTATCGAAATTTTACAGGAAGGTTTATGTATTAAGAGCATTGATGCTTTTAAATTTTGGCGGTTAAAGGTTGAGGGGTGGGAGACAGATAGGACCATGTTTGATATCTTGAGCGTATTCGAACTTAACAAAGATTTTACCCTTTATTAACGTTTACAATTTCTTATAAAACTCATCTCTACTCTCAAAATTAAGCTTTTCGCCATTTTATAATAATAACAATTTTAACATAAAATATTATAGCAGAAAGTGCAACACACAATTTGAAATTTTTGCCGGGAAACGTGTTGCTGGACTTTTTATTAATTTTTTTTTTTTTTCATTTGCATGCATTGTATCATGTTCTGAAATGTAATGAGTGGCCAACGAGCTGGCCACGTGGAGTTTGCCGGAATTTTTCACGTTTGTAACACCTAAACAGGGGATAGTTTCCCATAGAAAGGCCTCCCGGGAGGCATTGCTGTAACCAAACCAACGATTGCATATTATATTTCATATTGTTTTTAAAGTACAGTAATAAAATAATTGTAATTATTAAGTAATATTTTAAACTTATAACATTGATTGATTAGTCATTAAATTTGAAATAATTAATTTTCAAAATAATAATATATTTTTCGATTTCTACGCTGTATTTAAATAGACGTGATTTGATTTCTGTAAAAGTAACAGGTAACAGGTAAGAAAACAGAGAAGCTTAAATTTTCGATAAAAGTGTATGCCAAATTTGATTTTAGTGTTTTTAAAATATAAGTTTTTTCTTAAATAAACATTAAAAAATATTTTAAGTATCATAAAATATTTTTTTATTAAAATAAAATATTTGGGGGGGACTCGTTTCGCTCTGCACTTACTAACAGGATCATTTTTCAAACACTTCGGATTAATTAGTACAGACCCACAGTGGGAATTTTGAGGGATAGGGTCTATTAGACCCAAGTTTGTAAGGGATAAGACTCGAAATNAGTTTGTTTATTTTTATATTTAATTAGTACATTAAAAAAATACTTTTTAATAGTTTATTAAAAAGTATATTTTATTTATAAGTTGTTTCTTAAAAATGTTTAAGAATTAATAAATAATGTATTATTTTAAATTAAATATTACTTTATAAATTCTATAAATTACACGTCCTCGTACGTGTACATGTATATGTATATGTTGGGAGTATTATAATTTCCAATAGACTAAACAATTGTTTATTACAGAAAAATGCGTCGTCGGCTTTTTATTTTAATTTTAAACAGAATAATGGACTTTAATGTCACGCGATACGACATCTCTTCGTAACACAAAGAAATTTGATCGTTTAACGGATCATATGACAGAAATTGATATATATCCTTTCCAAAAAATTTTGGATATTATCTTTATTTCAAGTGAAAATAATTTAGATATTTCATTTATTAAAACTTTATTAAATTTAAATTTTAAAAATACTTTGAATTTTATAAAATTTATGTTATTAATATGAAATCTTTACAACAGATGGAGCTACGAGAGTATAAAGACGATTTATATAAGTTGATTCGCATGTAACAGGATTTATAATTATTTGGAGAAAAAATTTTATAAATATGGGCCCTATTTAAAGAGTCACAAACAAACGCGTTTTGATAAGCAATGACATGTTTTTCAGAAAGAATTTACTGTATTAAACAATACAGTATTGTAAATTTGGTTTTACGGGTGTTCTCTCTAACCTTTACAACACGAGTATGTTCTGTAGATCTTTAAATATTAACAATAGGGCCCATGTTTATATAGAATTTTCTTCCTAATATACCATAAAGTCACCTCATTAAGTCCTGTTGATACATTCTGATCACCCTGTAATGTTACATCAAGCGACTCGTGACTGTACTGTAAACTCAGTGACAAGCTAACTATAATAGACAATGTGATAACATGAATTATGATAAAGTAGAAGGGCATTTAATATTTAATTATCTAATTTTATATGTATTTATTGATAAATATGTACATAATTGTACATAAAGTTCAGACCTGTATACTAAACAAGCTATTCATTATTTTCTTTCATAGGAAAACTAATTATATTTTTAATTATGTGCTATACAGATCAATATAGGGCTTTAAAAAGGGTAATTTTAAGTTTAATATATTATTAACATGAGGAATATTTTTAGATTTCCCTTCAGGAGAATTTCTTAAATAAATAATTTAATTTAATTTTAATTTATATCTGTTTAGAAATCTTCTCTATAACAAAATTAAATTTACTTGGTAATTTATTTAATATTTAATAATAAATTGAAATCAAAAAAATTACTTATTATATATGAATTATAAATAAAGAATAAAAATATGTAATTTATTTAACAAGTTAAGTAAATAAAACATGAGTTTAATCAATTAAATACATGGTAATATTGTCTTTAATTAGACAAGAAAATTAATAATGGATATTATTTATTCATTTAACAAATGTCTATGATATAGAATTTATTGTTATATTAATTTTTTTTAATATTAAAGTTAGAGAATTTAGTTAAAATAAGAAAAAAAAATCCAAGTCGTCGATGATAGATATAAAAATATATAAAATTCTTTGTTACTTCAATTTAGATACACTGAAGATACCTTTAAATGTAATAATATATATATTTAAAACAATTGAAAATACATCTATTTGTTCCATAGTTGAACTAGTTTAAAATCTGATTAAGATCAGCAAACATTCGAAAAAATAAAGGAATTAAATTTTAAAAAATTAGATAATTGAGGCCTATTTTTGTGTGTGTGTGTAAAACTTCATATTATATTGTTAAAAGTTGCGCTTTTATCATATTATTTTTTATGGTTTGTTAGTTTAAAAATTCAGCAACGAGTTGCTTAACTTTTCCGGCAACATATGATGGCGCCATCTATTATGATATTTTATTTTAAAATTTTTTTTATATTTTTAACTATTATAAAATGGCAAAAAGCTTACTTTTTAAGTTAAGAATGTTTTTTTTTTTAATAATCGTAAATACTAATAACGAGTAAAATCATAAAGTCTGATCTTAATGGAGATACACACGATCTTCTTTATCTTCCCACTCCCTCCACCTTTAACCACCAAAATTTAATAGAGTCAATCCCCTTAATAAACAAACCACCCTGCAAATTTTCAGAAAATTTCGACAAAAGCACAGGAATTATTAAGCTTCGAACAGGGTGAATAAAATCGTCCCCCACATATACAAAAACACCCATACACACAGAAAAATTCCCGAATTGTTTTGCATTTCTCGGCGTTTTATGATCCTCTGCGTCCAAAAATATAAAAATTTTGGGGGGTCAATTTTGATCGATTGCAATACTTTCCCTCAATTATATATAACAAACGGGGAAGTAAAAATTGTAATTTTAACAATTGTGAAATTGTTTCCCTTCTAGAAATGTGAAAATCGAACTTATATCTTCTGAGAAATCGAAATTGTCATCAAAGAAAACTGTTCTCTTCCTAAATTGGCTTCTCTGTCAAGTCTTGCCTGACAGATAGCATTAATCACGTGGTTTCGATCGTTCACTCAGTTTTGTTTGCGTTTCAGTTAAATCAAAGATTTTAATAATTTTTTTAAAAAATTCTATAGGTGTCTCTCAAATTTAATTTTATGTGTAGAATTAGAACGGTGTAGAAAATTCTATAATTTGATTTAAATACGTAAACAGAAATGTCGATTTATTACTTCGATTAGAAGCGTTTTTAGTAGTGACAGAGAGCCACATTCTTCACTTTAATCCAAAATATATATGTGTTTTCATGTCTAAAAAGTAAAGTTTTATGCACAAATCTTCTTCTCTTTCCTAACAATTAAAATATATTCAGCTAACATATAAAAGAGGTAAATTTTGTTTGGAAAGAATGGATCTAAATTTAGGGGATGAACCCTGTCATTCTAAGATCTGTAACGTGTTTCTGATGTTATCTAACGGTGCTCGATCAATTTTTTTATTGAAAAAAATCAATTATATAGAAAATTTTTACTCAAAAAGTTGGGCCATAGCAAAAGCTTATCTTGGAGCTTTAATTCCAGACATTTGATGCACCACTACTTCTGTAATTCGAGCGCTTTCAAACCATCTCCTACAAACTTCTACAAGAAAAAAAAATTTAAAGTTCTTTA